TTTTTAGAAGGAAGAGAGGCTAAAAGTTGTGATTGAAGGAAGCTAGAAGAGGGTTCCTGCAAGTATAAGGCTTTCACGAGTGGAGACCGTGTGAACAAGTGAGAATGAGGGAGATGTGCAGGCCTATGAGTAAGAGAGGTCATGATGATAACAATTGATTTAACTTTTTTTATTTTTTAATTAAATTGAATCAAATAATAATAATCTAGTCAAAATAAATATATTATTAACTCCTCTGGTGAATTCTCAATTCTCCTTTGTCTTGAGAAGTCATCAGCTCACTCACAAAAAATCTTGTCTTTGCTTCCATGCAGTGCATAGGATAATATGAGCATCTATTTTGGATATTTTCAACATTCGAACGCATTAGCGTAGTCTATTTCACAAAAGAAGTCACCATTAGAAGATTTTGATTACAGTCAAGACACTACGAACCAAATTCGTTATACTTCACGTCCTTAGTCTATCATTTTAGTCAACTTGAATTGAATCAATCCAAGAGGTCATTTCTTGGTAATTTCGATGCTTCAAATGTATCAAAGCTATCCATTTTTCACGTTTGAGTGATTTTTATTATAGTCGATGCGTCTTGAACCAAATTTGTGTGATGCTGCATCGTTTAGTTGTCAACTTGTCATTTTGGTTCGATTTGATCATATTGGTTTGCAAGACACGTGAAGGTTAATGGTTAGTACCATGCCTCATAATACAAGAACATGCAAAGCAAGAATTTTAGAACTCATTTCTTTTGTTCGCTCTTCTTAAAACAAATTTTTGCATACAATAGTATTATATAGAATAAAAACTTGCTAAATATAGGGTTTAATTTCTTAAAAGCTTCTTCTATACTAACTAATATCCCCATAAACTAAGCATCATATGAATCAATTTTTAGATGTTACATTATCAACATTTATTTGTTCTTCGTTTAACAAACCTAAGATATCATCTCCTCCCATTTCTTGAATCCCCCCACCTCTCATACAAAAGAACACGCAGAAGCAGTAACAATAGCAGCATCAACACAGCTACAACAACAATGCATATCATGCATGCAAATGATGACAAAAGCAATTACACAAGTACTACAAAGTTGAAATGTTTCATATTAAGCAATACAATCTGATTGTTGAAGAAGTCCCATGTCCTTTTTTCACTTACATTCCAATGAATCAATGTAATGGGTCCTTCTGGATACGAGACAAAGACTACATTCTTTCCACATACAATAGGACAAAAAAGAGCTTAGTAGTTCAGCCTTGACTTTCTAGTTCTGAAGGATAAATCAATCACAAGTATTAAGAAAAGGGAGACTCCATCCTTTTGTTAAAATACCCAATGCATGCATGATCACTTAGCTTAAAACGCTTTTGTTTCTACCTTTATAAAAAATAAAGGTTGGACACATATTACGACATTAAATGAAGGATTGCTACACAATCAAGAAGAAAAGACAATGTACAATAAGGGAAAATCGTAAACTTCCCCTCTTTGTATTCAATAAATCATGGCACAAACTTTTTAATCAAAACTGGTAGATAAGCCACCTAAAACATTCTCAAACTGGGAAAAAAATATATGTCAACCAAAGCACCCTCAAACAAAAATTGAAATAAATAATTTCATATAATGGGACCAATTTTGTAAAATCCATCTTGCATTTTAATAAAAGCTCTCACTGCACAAAAAGTATACCACCTTCAAACAAGGTCAATTAAAATTAAGATGGCTATTTGAGTCATGAAAACGAATAAAGAAATAAATGGATATTAACATAAAGTATGCTAACTTCCTATAGCCCTGTACCATAAATCAGGAGAATCTATAAGATACACTTTTGTCAAACATCAAACAAAGATAACATGAATTGTATAATTATGTTCATTTTAAAAGCTTTCTCAAGCAAATATGAGTAAGTTGTTGGTCATATATTGATTTTCATGATTGAAAACCTAACATGTATTTCAGCTGATCACTCTGCCTAGCACGCAAAAAAAATATGCAAGAAGCCCATGAACTTTTAGAGAGCTATATTCCTTGGACCCTACCAGGCATCCTTCTTGGGAGCCAAGATTCCAAAAGGCTCTCTTAATCCCAATGTCAGGAGCCCTTGACTATCTATGATGTTGAATCCTTTAAAAAGCGTGGATCTAGGATTTGATTTGTCCCTTACTCCACATCTCCAAGTTACAAATGAAATGATAGACTGCCCTTTGATCATACTTGCACGGATCCTCATGCAAACTACTACTATCGGAAGGTAAAAAAGTTTAAATTTAACTTGTAGCCTATGTAGGAGCTCTTTTCCTATATTAAGTTCCAAAAGGCTCCTCCCTGCCTCAAATAATTAAAAACCACCAAAATGTTATCATAAAGTAACTTTTGATCCCAAAGAAAACCAAAAGCATCCATGTTCCTTCAAACTTTCTTGTAGTCACCTCGTGCCATCACTTGCTAATCTTTTTTAGAAGTGCTCTGTAGTTCCAAAAGCTTGCTCATTTAAGGGTAAATGACTTCTCTTTTGCTTAAACATTCTTCATTCAACATGCATACCTTCATGAAAGTAGTCTTGTGTTGTCTACTTTTAAAGATTCTTTCTCAAGGGCATTTTCAATTGGAAACAAAAAACTTATCAATTTCATCAAACGAGATCTTAAGCCTTTGGTTCCAAATTTTTCATATCCACAACTGAGAAGACTTCATTTCCAATAGCTAACTACCCAAACTTCTATACATGTTACTATCTCTTTTCTAGTTCAGTTATATTCTTAGAGTTATCTCCACTAATGGTGATTCAAAATGGCCTACAAGGAAGTTGAAAGCATAGCATCAAGGAATAAACGGATCAAATCTCTTTTTATTAGTTGGCATATTTTTATTTTATTATTTTTGTAATTAAAAAAACATGCAAGTGATGTTGGGCGAGAGAGGGCTACAACATTTTCTAAGGATACGCAGGCATGATTTCAATTTTAATTTAGATATTACAGTATTGATTGGCTTGGATTGTTATTGGTGTAGAGTTTGGAATGCCATTAAGTGTTGTTTTGAGCAGAGGAATTAGCATTGGTATTCTTCGGTGGTGGTTACCAGAATTATTCTTGTGAGATATGCTTTAGGTGTGATTGATTGACATATTTCTTTTATTTTGGTTGATGTGGTTGCCTCCATTTTACATTATACAATTGCATATGGCTGGTGTGGAAGTTATGGCTTTCACTAAGAGAATCTTAGGGTTTGATTCTTCAATGCATATGGAAGCTTGTTGGTTATGTTTCATGTGGTTTATATTGCTTGAAAGTGTGCTTATGACTTTGTGCAAGTTCAAGATTTTGAAATTACATTTTTTGACTGATAAGATTAAGATTTACAAGCTTAGGTGTATTCAACAATAGATAAAATTTTGCGAAGGTTTCAAATTATGCAGTAATTAATTTTAAATTTAATTAAAGTTTCGATTAAGTGTATCTTATGCCAACCTTATCTATTAACTTAGCAGATAATGAACCTATCAATAGATGTCATGAAACATATAAAATAACTTAGGCTTGAATAAAATCCACTTGAGCTTCAATCTAAAAATTCAAATTGGATGTTTGATTCCTTCAAGTGTGACACAAATGTGATTGTCTAATTCCAGTCGCAGTCAATTTCTTATATCTACATGAGAACTTACTTTCATATTTTTGTATTATCAGTCCATATTATTATTTCATTTAAAATAATTTGTACCGCCTTATTAGGGCCTCTTGATTTTGTTCAAATTCTAACCCATTAAAAATTCAATTTATGAACATTAAATTACAAATGCTTGCTAATTTTCTTAAATTATTTTCGATCGTTTCATTATCAATCGCTTTTTACTCAAGATTGTCTATAACTATAGTAAAATGAAACAAGTGCTTGAATAATTTTGTGGCTTACAATATGTGAATACATAATTTCTTTTGAATGCGATCACATTACACATCATATTAGTTGCATAAGAAAGCTTAACTCAAAGTCATCCTGCAACAAGTTTGTCCTCATCTTTGGAGAGGGCAAAGGTTTCGCTTCTTGAACCTTGAAATACAAGTGGTGCAAAGACAGCTCTTCTGCCTGTATTAATGCCATTGTTAGTATTTGTGCTTCGCTCGTGAAGAAGCTAATGATTAATACAAAATTTTATAATGATGAGTTTGGGGAGCGGATGCAATCTTAACTGAAAAATTGAACCACTATAAGTGTCAATACCTATGGCTTGTTCTATTATATACCCTCAATCTCTTTACAATTGTGTAAATATTATTACATTCTTAGCTTGTCAGGTTCTCAACATTATTTATAGCCTAAAATTCTTAGGGTAAATCGATTTCCCATCAAATTATAGTAATTTTAATATAACATTGAGTTTACTTGACTATTACTGGTTTGAGTACACACATTTAGGGAACAATCGATTTTCATATAAACCTATTTTAACTCTTTATTTGTTATACACTTTTCTCTCATATTTAAGATATTTGTAGCATATAATTGTTTATATTATTCATGCTGTTATACACTTACGGTACACTTAAGGTGCATTATTAATCTATGCATAACCTTGTTTAAGTCTCAATTTATTCTCATAATACTCAATTCAGCCACCCTTCAACCCAACAACTCTCCCACAACTCTCCCACAGGACCCACACAGATTTCATTTGTGCACATCGACCAACAAAAGGTTGGTCCTGCTCGACCCAGCCTAGATTAATGGATTTGAGGATGTCTCTCGCCATAAGTAATTTTTAACATTTACTGTTTTATTGGTTCTTTACCCTTAAAAAGTATGCTAAGCATGTAAAATGACTCAACAGAAAATAAAAATAGATTAAAATAATAACTAACAATTGAAGAGCAAAGATACACATTCAAAGTTTGAGGCTTGATAGTTGAGACACACCAAATCATGATGAATATATTGCAAATTAGCAAAGAAAAAAGTGAGAATAAAAGATACAATGGATTATTACATACCTGAAATAGAATCACCACCCTTAATCCACGAGTCTTCATCTCCTGAAGAATTTTATCCAGCAGGAACAATTTACCACTTGCACGCACTTCAGCATTTAGAAATTCGACAGTTTGGAGGCCTTTAGTTAGTAAACCTCGCAGTTCTAAGTCAACGAGGTAGGGATGATCACAGCACTAAATTGAAGAAAATTTGAATATGTAAATAAGAGATATATTGAACAGATTAATAGGTAAGCATGCAACTACAAAATTAACAAGATAGGCATCGCATAATTTCATGCGGCAAATATATACCCAAGGGATAGCACATGTATACATTAAAGACCAACCTTCCTGGTAGTAATGAGAATACTGTGAAGAGCTCCAACAACATCAGATCTTGAGTTTGAACGAAGAACATTTGAATTTGAAATAAGAGTTGCACAATATTGCTCCAATTGCACGTTAGAGAGTGGAACAGGAACCCAGTACTCCACAAAATTAGATGAGTCAGCTTTACGTTCATAAGCAATATGATGTGCAAATTTCTCTTTCACGGTAGCAAGAGCACCATGGGCTTCATTAGTATCAGCCTTTAGGTCAGCCAAACAATCATCCACGGTTCCTCCACTGCTGAGGAAGGAAAGAAGGATACAGTATTCAGAAAGGCTATCCTGGAAAATTCAAAAAGAACAAATTAGCCAAAAGAAAAACGATAGAAATGGATCAATCACTAAAATAAGTAATTTACCTTCATTTGACCATTAAAAAGAAGAAGCTTAAAATCTGCGTTTAGACTTTTTAGTTGTTCAAGAAATCTAAACATCTTTGGGTTCTGACATTTATCAATGATCACAACTTCCCAGTCAATGCAATTTATATCACCCAAGTCCTAGAAACAAATACACAACAAGAAAACCAACGAATAAAAATTAAGAAATGTCTCATAATAAACTAGTAGTTTCATTGAAAATTCATAAAATATGCAGCTATTAGTCCATTTTGCCACATGCAACCTAAATCCGTACAAGAAGGCAGGCAATGCATCTACAGAAAACAGAGTGTGCACGCCAAAAAAATACAGAAAACGTGGGAGAAGGAAACATATAAAAAAGCCCTATTTTGGATGCAGTTAAACAAGATAGTCAAAATGAGAAAAGAACCAAAATGGTCCCACAACTTTTTGAGAGAAACCAAAATAATCCAAATCTTTTGAGAGACAAATTTGATCCCTCAACTCTTTAAAATGAAATATTTTTAGTCATAACATCACTGTTTGAGTTAATAATGTTAAATGTAAGGATATTTTGATCATTTTTTAATTAAATATATAATTTTCAAGTAATTATATTTTAAAAAAAAATTATTAAATGTTTCTTTAATTAAAAAATAACAATAATAATTTTAATTTTAATTTCAAAAAATTTAGTCATAATTTATAAAATATGATATTTATTGATTTAGAGAAATCAAATTCAAATAGATGTTATTTTCAACTTAGTCACGCATATTATTATCAATCATATTTATAAAATATGACTAATTAAAAATAAAATTATTATTAATTTTTTTATTAAAGAAATGTTTAATAATTTTTTTTAGAAAAATTATAATTACTTGAAAATTATATTTAATAAATTTTTAATTAAAAAATGACCAAAATATCCTTACATTTAACACCACAAACTCCAACCTTTGATGTTTGGATAAAAAATGTCTCATTTTAAAGAGTTATGGGACCAAATTTGTCTCTCAAAAGAGTTGGGGACCATTTTGATCCCTCACAAAGAGTTGAGGAATCATTTTAGTCCTTTTCTCTAGTCAAAATTAACATAGTCAAGATAACAGATAACTCCATGAGAAAGGAAACCGAGCTGAAGAATGTTGATTTCAAACTAACTTCTAGTTTGGGGCTTCAAAAAATATGAATTTGGGTGCATACACTTCAACAGATGCACTAGTTGCGTAAGAAAATGAGAAAAGGCATTATTAGCACAAAAGCATATGGACGGATAAATACAGAAGTATTTAATTATTATTCAAGAAGTAGATTCGTATGCAGAAGTAATAGAAATTAGTAAAACACATACTTCGTTAATAGCTTCATGATCTGCCAAAAGCACCTGAAACATTAAGCAACCACTTTCCTCATAAAATTCAGTATTCCTAATCATCTTCCGAACACCTTTGTCACCCTCATACGTTACTACATTAAGTGATGGGGCCAAACGGCCAAACTCAGCTTGCCATAGTGGAAGAGAATCTGATGTTGTGATAACAAGACAAGGTTGGTATGCATAGCATTGCAAAGAAAGAGCAAATAGGACTGATTTTGTGAAACGTTCCTGCAGAAAACATCATTGCAAAAATGAAAAATAAATTTTAATTTAACTAGTACAAGAAGCTTCTTCGGATAAGGTTTAAGGTGATGAAAAATATTTAAGAGGGAAAAAAAAAACCCAGAGGGGAGTTTAGCCATTCAGTTGGCTTAGCATAATTCAAATTTAATGGAATTTCTCCAGCATAATGAAAAGATGAAATGCACATAATAAAAATTCATCCACGGTCTCTTGAAGAACTGAAACATCATTGTACATGCATGAAGCATAATAGTTTGAAACATTTCAAAGGACAAATTAACTTTCCTCAGACGCACCTTTTAGCCTGCTAAAATTTCTTGCATTTTTCCATGTACCAATAAAAAAAAAGTAGGAAATTATTTAACATAAAAATATGGTCCATTCTGTTATGTGATAAACAAAGGGTGTGCCATTTTTAAACATTTCAGAAGACTTTCTATATAAATACAAGGAGAACTGTCTGAACCATTAATAATTCAATTAAATCGGCATTGTTAAAGTCATTGAATTGCATTTTTACAAGCAAAGATGATGAGAACATCTGACCTTGGAGAGTCTATAAGAGGCGTAGCCATCGATCTACGGCCATGATTGCAGCGTTTTACTTTTGATTATCATTGTATTAGATTATTATGTTTATGATTTATTGTACTTTTTTCCTTTTCTGCCCTCACTTAAGGGCCTAGTTATGTGTATGCCCTAGGGGCAAGTTGTTCTTTTGTACTTTCTTCATTGTACTAGCTATTTAAGGCCTCCTCCTCCTTTGAGGGGATGATGAATAATATTATGAATTTTCGGCATTTATGTGTTTTGAGAGAGCTTGAGCGTTCTTGAAGAGATTGAAGTAACTCCTCTTCCCCTTAAACCGCTGGCCAAATCCATTCCTCCCTCTCATAGTTGAAACCCCCATCTCCACTAACCCTAGGCCAACCACCTCTCCCCTCCTCCCTCTCTCTCGGGCGAGCACCACCACCCATTCCTCCTCCTTCACCAGCCAACCATAAGCCCCACCGCCACCGGCCTAACCCCATCACCCAAATTCCACCACCAACTCAAGCTGTCGGCCCCTAGTCTCTTTCCCTCCTTAATTTCCCTATTTCCTAAATTAGTTTATGTTAATTTTGGAAAGCTTTTGAATTCAAATCCAAATAAATTTGAAATTCAAATCCTTTCTTAAATTAATTAGCCTATTTTAGAAAACCCCCTTCAATCCTGAATTGATTAAAATCTGAAACCAATTAGCATTGATTGCCCCTCCGCATTCAACAAATGTGGACACTTCTCTCCCCTCTATCTTGGCTGGCCCCCCTACCCTCTCTCCTATCTAATTAGTTCATCCAATCAAATCCCCCAATCAAGCCCCTTGCATGGTCGGCCCCTTCCTTTCTCTCCAATTCAAATATCCCACAATAATTCCATCCCATTAATCTCTCCCCTCATTATGAATTAATTTACATTATCCCCTCTAATTCTTCCCTCCCCTTCTACCTAGCCGCCACCCCTTTAGTCTTCCCCAACTCCTAAACACAATTTCTCCGCCCAATAGCTCTCTTTCTAGTTCCTAAACATCCCCAAGTTGCTGTCCAAATTTCTGGACCAAGGGATTGCTGTCCAGCACTCCCCAGATCAGCAATATTGTTGTCCAAATCAATTCGTGCTTGCTGTCCAGCAATAACTCAGGTGCTGTTCAGAAATTCATGCACTCTTCCTTGCTGTCCAGCCGCTTGGAGAGGTCTTTGAATGTTGTCCAAAGGTTCCCAAACCTTGAAGTTGTTGTCCACTATTGTATGGCTGATCCTGAACAAGATCACGGGTTCGTTTACGACGACCAAGGCCACGTCGATATTTTCAACTCGCCGTTCTTCCACCGCGCTTTTTTTTATTTATTATTATCCTCCTTATTTTCCTAACCGCCACTTCCCCATCTCTCTTTCTCCAATTGGCTTAAAACTCCACCCAAAACCTAGGCTAAAAGACACCCAACCGCCGGCCCAATCCCATTCCCAAAGCCGCCGGCCATCATCCATCCCTTGGCTCCAAGATTCAAAATCTAACATTCAAATCCTTTCCTAAATTAGCTCCCTTTAATTTTGGAAACTATTTAAATTCATATTCAATTGAATTTGAATTTGAATTTTACTTCCTAAATGAGAAAAACTATTTTAGGGAAGTCCCTCAAATCATGCAATTTTGAATTTTAAATAGGAGTTGATTTAAATTCACTTTCCTATTTTAAGATTCTAAATATAGCCACATTTAACCCCTCATATCAATCACTCATAATCATGCTAGCCGCCGGCCCTACCCCCCTTCCTATTTCCTCTTTCCCTCAACTTTTCAAATTGATTATTGAAGGCATTCCTTATTCGATGCATCTTAAGTTTGAAAAGTTTTTAAATTAATTTGAATTTGAAATTTTTTCTTAAAATAGGAAGAATTATATTAGGAGGCTTTCCTTAATTCTCCCAATTTGAATTTAATTAAAGACCTGTCATAATTCCCCTTTCCTTATCTTAATAAATCAAGTTTGGAAATTCCTTAAGTTCACATTCATCATATGTGGACACATTCATCGAATGTGGACACATTCACCGTATGTGGATGTCTTCCCTTTTTTCCCCTCTTTTGGCCGACCCCCTCCATTCTACATCATTGACGAAGGTAAACTCTTCCACCAAATTTTATATCTTCTGAATTGCTCTCAATTGTGATCATAATTGATTAATAAAGGTTATGTTAACTCCCTCCGCTAAGCCTAGTATTCTCAAGAGTTGAGTAGGGGATCTCTTTCGTAGTGACTAATCTCATTGCTAATTTAGGAATTTCCCGTTGAAAATCCTTTACGTATGCTATGCTTGAGTAATTGATTATTTTGTGATCTTAACTTCTAGTTGTGTGACTTGGCCTAAGCTAGTTTCACCCTTCTCTTGTTTTTTTTTTTTTTTTCATTGTTTAAAATCATTGTAAGTTTAAAAACTAATATTGCTCTCAAATAAAAGCGCGCAATTTCTTACTTAACATTGCCTAAACATGTAAGTCCTACATCAAAAGAGCAATACAAAAAAGCTGCAAGCTTTTCCCAAAGCTAATGGAGAAAAGCAAGTTTGTTCAGAAACATTACAATGAATGTCAACTATTCAGCCTATTTTTAAAATGGATTATCTTCTTTTAGGATTTGGATTTTTTTTGTCCTTTCTGTATTAGTTTCTCTTTTTCTAACATGCTTCGAACTTATTATCACTTCGAAGTTGAAATGATATTAACTCTCATTTAAAAAAAAATGAAAAGGTTGAAACCGATTTGAAATGACAGTCTAGATGAGTTTCAGGTGATTTTCAACACCATTAAACCAATCAAAGATCCGTCTACGAAAATTGAAATGCACAATGAAATATGAGATGCATTTGCTATCTTTTACTTGCCTATATAGATCTTTTCTTGCATGTAGAGTTCATAATATCATTCTGATAATATCCTTCCCTCGGGGTCGCCATTACTAATTGATAAGTTTAGAACTTTAATAATCTTTCCTTGCATTATTATCAATGCTCGTCTCTTAGTTAGACATTATCATTCTTAGTTGGTATAATATTTTAGTTTGATAAGTTGATAGTTATCTACACTTTATCTAACCGAGTAAAATAGATTTCATTAGATTTATGAAACATATATAATTATTATATGCAACCATGAAAAGATTGTGCTTCCAAACATCAAGTATAATCTGTGTTGATAATGAAAACTTATTACCTTTTTTTTGTTCAAATTAGTTAAATTGTCAAATCGTACATAAAAGCATGTAAGCTACTAGTTTTTAAAAATTGAATATTTAATTTGGACCTCTGCTTATCTTCTTTGGGGTGAGCAGGGGTACAACCTTGGCTCATTTAGTTAGTTGATTACATAGATTAAGAATTTGATGAGTCCCTTTCATACAAAATACCAACCACTACTATATTCACTTTCTTGAAACTTGCACTTTAGAAGTCAACAGACATAATCACAGTTTATATTGTTAAGTAGGTTTAGTTCAGGATATGATTACATATAGTTCCAAAGATACTTGCATGACTAGATTTAGCAAAAATAAAATAAATAAAGCGAACTAGCATGGACGTATTTCCATCGGGTTTAAGGTTGATTTCTAAATTGTTGATTTTAATGTCCATATATACAAAATGTCAATCTCTAAAGCATGCTTTGCTAACGATTAATTAGACATGCTTAAGCCCCTAAGGCCACCAAACAACCGTTTTATCCACTTCAAGCAGAAAAGCATAAGCCTACCATGCACTTAAGAGACTTTATACTTAGACATATGCAGCTTTACCAACTCACCCAAAGCTGGTTTTAGCATCACAACCAAACAACAACATCAAACCTTTATCCCACTACATGGGGTCAGCAGTCAGCTACATGAATCCTTTTTCTCCATTGCGTCCTGTTAAGAGTCAAATTCTCATTTAAATATAATAAAAAAAGTCATTTCTAATATTTTCTAACCAAGTCTTTTTAGGCCTACATTTACCTCTTTAAACATAGGTCAAATCTAATACATCTACTCTCCTAACTGGGTCATCAGAAGGCCATCATTTTATGTGACCAAACCATCTAAGGCGACTCTCTCTAATCTTATATGCCACTATACCTACTCCAACCTTTTCATGTATATGCTTGTTTCGCATTCAGTCTCTAAGAGTAAAGTCACTCATCCATCTGAGCATCGCCATCTTTGCAACACTTAAAACTTAATTTTATGCTTCTCTTTTAATGGCCAACATTCTACGCCATAAAGAATTGCTGATCTCACCACCATCATATAGAATTTTCCCTTAAGTTTGAGAGGTAATTTTCTATCACAACAGCCCGATGCATTCCTCCACTTCAACCATACAACTTGAATTATACTAATAATATCCCCATCTATTTCACCATCACTCTGGACAATAAACCCGAGATATCTAAAACATGTAATCTTATTAAAG